CTTCCTATAACTCATACTGGTTCCCCAACGCTTAATTCTGACTCTAATACATTTACCCTCGATGATGTTTTATGTGCCCCTCATTTTAAATGCAACCTCATTTTTGTTTCTCAATTTTGCAAACATAACAATACTTCCATTGAATTCTTTCCTGATTCATTTCTTGTTAAGGACTTGAGCACGGGGGCATCATTGATCCAAGGCCCGAATAAAGACAACATTTACGAATGGTCGTCAGCCTCTCGAATAACCTAGCCCACTGTTCATTCTTCTGTTGTGGCTCCAGTTGATGTGTGGCATTGTCGGCTTGGTCATCCCTCGTCCTTTATTCAACAGAAATTATTATCTCGTCACTCTCTTTCTCTTTTTAAGTCCACTAATTCTATGATGCATTGTGATGCTTATCTTAGTAATAAGAGTTATCGGCAGTCTTTTGGCTCATCTTTCATTTTTTCCTCTAAACCTTTTGAAATTATATATATTGATGTTTGGGGTCCTGCTCCAATCTTATCTTTTGATAAGTTCTGATTTTATGTTATTTTTGTAGATCACTTCTCTAAGCACATGGATATATCCTCTTTCCCATAAATCTGACGTTTCTCGTATTTTTTTCACTTTCCAGAAGTTGGTCGAAAACTATTTTCAGTCTACCATTAAAACAGTCTACTCTGATGGTGGTGGTGAATATCAAGCCTTGGCATCCCATCTCTCAGCTTGTGGCATTCAACACCTCAAGTCTCCCCCACATACTCCTCAACTAGTTGGTTCTGCCGAATGCAAACATCGGCATATAGTAGAAACTGGACTCACACTTCTACATCAGGCTTCCATGCCTTCAACTTTTTGGACAGCAGCCTTTCAAACTGCTGTCTACCTAATTAATCGAATGCCTACACCAGTTCTACAATACTAGTCCCCCTTTGACACACTATTTCACAAACCCCCTAATCTTCGTAAACTCTGAGTGTTCGGTTGTTTATGTTATCCTTGGTTACGTCCCTATGCCTCTCATAAGTTAACATCCCGATCTACTCCTTGCGTCTTTATTGGTTACTCACTTGAACATAATGCTTTCCGCTGCTATAATCTCCACACTCACAAAATCTTCATATCACATCACGTTGTCTTTGTTGAGTCTAACTTTCCTTTCCAAACCCTTCCATATCCTGCCATACGGACCACTTCACTATCTCACTGGAGTATACCTTCGGACCAATCAGACGAGCCTCCCATGACTTCGTCTACTTCCTCCCCTCTTGATCCGCACTATATCACTCCAGTTCAACACTTGCCCGTTTCCTCTGTTCCTATTCCACTCCACTCTTCCCCAATTGATGGGGCAATATATTCCGAAACACAACCATCCTCTTTACCTCCTTCTCGCCCAAGTGCCCCTGACGTGTCTCCACTTGACCCGGCTTGTGCCACTGATCCTCACCCAACATTACCTCATAATCCTGTCATCTCCAATCATCCTATGACCACTCGCTCTAAGCATGATATTTTTAAACCTCGTCAAGTACTTTACCTACAAGCTATCATGAATTCCTCATCCCCCAACGTTGAACCCACCACCTCCACTCAAGCCCAAAAATCTCCGCATTGGAGTACTGCCATGAGTGAGGAATATAATGCCCTCCTCCATAATTCAACGTGGGATCTCATTCCTTTCCATCATTCACAAAACATCATCGGGTGTAAGTGGGTCTTTAGAATTAAGCGGAACCCAGATGACTCTGTTGCCCGATATAAGGCACGCCTGGTCGCCAAAGGGTTTCATCAACGACCTGGAGTTGATTTCACTGAGACGTTTAGTCCTGTTGTTAAACCCACTACAATCCGACTTATCTTGAGTCTGGCTACCACTAAAGGCTGGCAATTACGATAATTGGATGTTAATAATGCCTTTCTATAGGGATCTCTATCCGAAGATGTTTTTATACAACAACCCCCCGATTTTACTCATCCTCGGTATCCACAGCATGTTTGCAAACTTCGGAAAGCCATTTATGGACTTCGTTAGGCTCCGAGAGCTTGGTACACTGAACTTAGCTCATTTTTGACTTCTGTCGGCTTTCTTAACTCCAAATCTGACACTTCGTTGTTTCTGCGACATCATCATGGAAACATAATGTATATTCTGGTATATGTGGATGATATTATTGTCACAGGCAACAATCCCATCAGCATCCAAGCGTTCATCAAACAGCTAGCAGCTCGATTCTCGCTTAAGGATCTCGGACCCTTGAGCTACTTTCTGGGCGTCGAAGCTACCTTCACATCTTTCGGTCTCCTTTTATCACAACGCAAGTACATTCAAGATTTGTTATTAAAGACAAACATGCAGGATGCAAATGCAGTTACAACCCCCATCTCTACTAGTGGTTCTCTCAAATTATCGGATGGAAGTCCTACTATGGAACCCACTCAATACCGCCAAGTTGTTGGCTCTTTACAATACTTAGCTCTTACGCGTCCAGACATCTCATTTGCTGTCAACAAATTATCACAGTTTATGCAGCAACCATCTACTCTACACTGGTCTGCGGTCAAGAGACCCTAAATCATGGACTCTTTTTTCGTAAACACTCTCCACTTCGTCTTCATGCCTTTGCCGATGCTGATTGGGCAGGTGACCTTGATGATAGAACATCCACATCGGGGTATATTATCTTCCTTGGTGCTCATCCAATCAGTTGGAGTTCTAATAAGCAAAAGACAGTCGCCCGGTCTACAATTGAAGCTGAATACCGTGTCATTACCGCTACCACTGCAGAACTCAATTGGATCACGAATCTACTCCAGGAACTCAACATCGATTCCACCCCTATAATATATTGTGATAATATTGGAGCTACCTATCTGTGCGCTAATCCGGTATTCCACTCCCGCATAAAACATATTGCTATCGACTTCCACTTTGTACGCGATCAAGTTGTCTGCCGTCAACTTCGTGTTTCTCATGTTCATACGACTGATCAATTGGCCGACTCATTTACGAAACCTCTAGCTCGTAAATTTTTTGCATTACATCAGTCCAAGATTGGCCTCCTTGATCGGAGCACCATCTTGCGGGGGCATGATAAGTAGATGAGATTTTCCTAACTGTTTGAGGAAATCTCTCTACTCTGTTGAGGAAAATCTTTTAACCTATTGAAAAAAATTCTCCCTTCTAACATGTATAAAAGGAAGGGGATAGGTTAATAACAATCAATTTCTTCTACAACTTATTTATCTATTTATTTTCTAACATATATCATCATCAGATAGTATCACAGTACTTGAAGAACACCGGACCACAACAGATAAAGATTTGAGATTGTCACAGCAGCAAAGTTTGACTTTGTAGTCGGCAATGGATGCGTCGCCTATATATGCAACAAATAGATCACATGATCGTATTAAAATCATGATTATGAGCATTTGATAATAAGATATTGTAAAGCAATGTTAGTGATATGAGTCCACCTATATCTACCTGAGATTGTTTAATGGAAGATATTCCATCTCGTAATTGGCCAAACAATTCCAATCGCCTGCTCGAGTAAAGTTGTACAGTTCTTGATCATGTAAATGATCCAGTAGCATAAATAAGCAACTAGTTTATGTTTCAGCTTTTGCTGAACTGCATGTCTGTGAAGAACTCGAGAAAACAGCTACCAAACTCGTGACGATTAATTGCATGAACAGCATCACAAATGAGCAATGATCATGATGAACTTATCTACAGAATGTTGCGTGCTTTTGCTGAACTACATGTCTATGAAGAACTGGAGAGAACAGCTGCTGAAATTGTGAAGATTCATTACACGAGCAGAATCGTAAATGAGCAATCATCATGATGAATGTATCTACATTCATGCTTTTGCTGAGCTACATTTCTGCGAAGAACTGGAGAAAGCAGCTTCTGAAACTGCAAAGCAAGGTTGAAAGAGAGAGAGAGAGCATACAATGGAGTCGCAAAAAAGATGATTGTGAGTGTTAGCATGAACTGAAGGAATAAGGATTGATGTTTCAAATCAAACCAAAGCAAAACTTTGGCCTCAGTAACACTCTAAGCTATATGCCTTCAGTTATATATCATTGTAGGGAAAAATAATGACCCATTATAAATGGCCGGAGTACGGAGTACCCAACCCTACCATCTTCCTTTTTCCTTTTTCACTCTCTCTCTCTCTCTCTCTCTCTCCAGTTATGAACTTACAAAACAAAATACCCAACACCTCGATATCACCCACCTCAGCCGTCTGATCAAGGCTTGGGGCACTAATCAACAAGTGTACTGCAGTGGCGTTTTATCATAATCCAATCGTCGAACCGTATATTTAATAAAAAATTATTAATATATATGAATTAATTTAAAATTATAAAAATTAATAAATAATTAAAAAAAATAAAATATCAACCGTTATCATAAACATTAATAATATTGGTGATAATTACACTAAATCGAATCGATCTTAATTTATTTCTCGTGTCAATTCTAATTTTATGATTGACGTAAATATCTTCTTGAATAAATAAAAAATTAAACTAAAGATATTTAAGTAATCTTTTTTATATTATAAAATCAGATTCATTTTTATGTAATTTGATTAGTTCATATGGGTTATTCAAATAATTAAAATCCGACTGATTAATAGCTTGATATCCGATTTTTTTGGTCCGATCATCCGGTTCGATTCTAATAACCATGTTTTTTATAATATTTATTTTACACAACTAAGCTATGGAGGGCCTTAATTAAAGGAAAAGAAAACTATGAGTAAGAATAAACAAATAGGGCCTTTTAAAAATATTTTAAATACTTTTCACCAATTTCTACCGAAGAAGAGAGAGAAAAAAGGCATACATTTCGATTGCAATAAATTTATATTAGAATAAAACAGGCAGATAATCTATTTAAAATCTCCTTTTTCTATTGCAAGGTGAAATGTGAACGTGGTTTTACAGTGGTATATTCACAAAGAGGCCAATCGGTCAACGACGAGCCATCGAACGTTTGACCGTCCAGTAGCCAAAGAAGGGCGTTCGTTTCCCATGCCCTAACAAGACCCCCATCATTAGAGAGAGAGAGGAGGGAGAGGAGGGGGATCTTTGCTGGCATGGCGATCCTCTACGCGGTGGTCGCGAGGGGAACGTCGGTGCTCGCGGAGTTCGCCGCCGTGACCGGCAACGTCCACGCCGTCGCACGCCGGATCCTCGAGAAGCTGCCGCCGGACTCCGATTCCAGGCTTTGCTTCTCCCAGGATCGCTACATCTTCCACGTCCTAAGATCTGATGGGATCACCTTCCTCTGCATGGCCAACGACACCTTCGGGAGTGAGTCCAAGGCATCAGCCCTCTCAATTCATCTGTATCGTCTTTGTGTCTGTTTCAATTTGAGGTTTCACTTGAGTATTGGTAGTTATTTCAATTGGAGGCATAGGGATTTTGGGGTTCTGAGTTGATTCCTATGCTGTTGCTTCTCTGTTTATTGTGTATTTAATAGAAGCTTATTCTTTTGTTCAGATTAGTAGCAGTCCAACTGTTATGGTTATGTGGAATCTACAGTTTTCATCTTACAAGCTACAATAACATGGGGAAAGTTGAGTCGTGGAGGGAAATAGGGGTTAAACTGGCCAATTACGAGCTACATGTCGATCATGATAATGCGACAACTACATATCGATAAGCATGCTAGTCTTAACACTAAAAAATTCTTGGGATCCAATAGTCGTCGATGCAAATTGTCACTCTTTCAGTATTTTTTTGAATATCTTCTGTTGGTTATGTTAAAAAAATGCCTTTGTTCCTTCTTGCATGTCATCTGATGATATTTGTCAGATTTCCTTCATGTATATGTTTGAATGAAACTATTTTTGTCTTAAATGTCTATGTCATTTATGTTGACATAAGATTTTGATTACTGAAATGAAAATACTAATGTAATTTCAATTATCAAAATCTGCTTGATATTCTTAAAGTACCTATTACTTACATATATTCTTTCATTGCAAATGGGTTAGGAATGCTAATTACTTGTTAACATTTATTGTGGTGTATTACTATGTATTTGAGCAATAACGGCAAATGTCAAGTTTGTCATCTTGTATCATTTTTGTAATTGCCAAATCTATGATGCAATTATCCTTCTTTTCATGACCTGGTATATTTTAGTATTCATATTATATCATCTGTATCCCATGTCTGTACCATGCTTCATAGTCCATTTATTGCGTGACAGGCCAAGACAGATGAGATTGATGAAGTCCTAATAAGACCTGGGTATAGAGCAGGGCTGGTATTTGTTTCTCTATCAACATGTTTAACTTATGTCTTGCAAGTTAATAAGGAGAAGCTAATTTTAGCAATCTTACACATTGACATTTCCGGAGTTCACAGTTTATTCACAAACTGGATGAACTTTGCGGTCTATATGTCAAAATTTTTTATCTTTTGTTTTATTTCATTTATTAGTTACTTTTATGTTCTATAATTACTGTTGATTATTGTTTCTACTAGAGGGTCTTCATCTGCTATGTTGTAGGGAGGGTTCCTTTTCTATATTTGGAGGACATTCACATGAGATTCATGAAAAATTATGGGAGAGTTGCTCATTCTGCACTAGCTTATGCAATGAATGATGAGTTCTCTAGAGTTCTACATCAGCAGATGGAATTCTTCTCAAGCAACCCAAGTGCAGATACACTTAACCGTGTGCGTGGTGAAGTTAGTGAGGCAAGTTGTGGAGATTTATTTAAAACCTTTGTTTGTTTAACAAATTGGTAGTTGTTTCATTACTGATATGCTTGTTCGTGTTTAGTATTTGTTCTCTAAAATGTAATGTGAGCCTTCCTGTTGCAGAAAAGTTCTCAGTTTCAATTTCTAAACTGTCACTTGAATCAACAATTAGGGATTTGTCTGCAATTTGTTCTCAAGAAGACCTCAATGCCCTTTTGTTAGTACTTTGCATTCTTATTAATGATTGCTATGTATAATGAAATTCTTTAGTTTCTCGTGATGGTAATGAATGCATCAATTGTAGCTTTGTCTTTGGAGATTGTATGACCTTTGGAACTTACATTTCTGGTGATATGGTATTTACATAATATTTCTTGTTTATATTTACTAAGAGACCAGTCAACTAGAATAAATAATGAATATCTTGAAATAATTTTCTTCTAAGGTCTTTCTTTCTATTCAAAGAAAAGGTAAGCATGAATGGCAATCTATGAAGTGAGGTTCCTAATTGACATTTTGTTACTATATGTTTGCTTCCATTAGGTTGCTATTATTTTAACATCCTTACCTAACTATTTTTCTGTCCATTAAGAGTAAGCAGAAGAAGGAGTTTTCTCCCACAGTGCATTTTCTTTAATCTACCTTACTCATCAAGAATGCTATGCAATATGAAGTTTCGTAGATGGTCATGACTATAAACCCTGGTTTTTGGAACTTATTTTTCTATTTGCAGTGCTTTTTAATATTAGTTGTTAGACATTAATTGGATGGGTATGGAAGGATGTCAATCAATCAGGATTACCTGAGTAATTGCTAATCTTTGTTCTAAAGTCAAGCAGAGAGTCCGCCATGGGGGGTGATCCTTGAAGTGAGATTCCATAATGATATTTTGTTACTTTCGCATCAATGGAAGTTACTAGCAGATTTTGATATCTTTTTCCATCTGACTAGATTTTTGTCCTTAAAAGAAATGGAAGAAAAATCTGTTGTAGCTGATTTTCATTTGTATCTGGCTTGTTTCTTTGTACAAAGATCATAATGTGTTGTGATAAAAATGTATTGCTAGCAAGAACTAGGGGTGCCTTAATCAGATTGCTGCTGCAAGTGCAGGGCTTGCGGCTTGACATCACACTATGGACGTGATAATGAATATCTTTTTTTTCTCCAGAAGAATTATATATCATCGTGCTTTTGTCTTTCTATTTTCTTACAGGTTTTTGCCTTGTTTTTAATGCTATTTGCAACTTTTGATTTATCCTTCTACCTGATATATACTCGTTAAACTTATGACATTTCAAAATTCGCAGATACACACTATCATGGTGGACAATGTTGAAAAGATATTGGACAGAGGTGATCGTATTGCACTTCTTGTTGATAAAACTGCTACGATGCAAGACAGTGCTTTTCATTTTAGAAAGCAGTCCAGGCGCCTTCGTCGAGCTCTCTGGATGAAAAATGCGAAGCTTTTGTAAGTATCTGATCTTCGCTTGAGTCAGCTCCTTGTACTGTGAGATGGTATTACATTGGTTTCTTGAATAATTATATGATCTTAAGACTTAACAACGGTAAGATGTCTAAGCATCATGTTGCCGATGATGCCAATAAGTTTGTGTTGTTTGAATTGATTTCACCAGATAATTAATTGAAAACAAGAATGATTTAGAATCATTGGCTCTCTGTGTGCATATAGCATTTGGGATTTTCTTGAATATGTATTATAGTTGTTTAAATCAGCATCATTGAACTATTGAACCAGCAAGTATTGATTAAGTGGGTTTTTTATCCTATCTGTGTTGTGGCAATTTTTGGCACTTTTTCACATAATCTGAATCCACATTGTCGCCTTTTAAAATCTAGAACGCGGATTTGATGCTTTACATACTGTGGACCATCAAGGACATAAGATGATACAATAAGCTGGTTAGCTTGTTGTTACTGCTTCAAATTTGTTAGTTTAAGTATGTGGTCTGGTGGCTTGGATGACCTAAGGACTATCAGACCATGGGCTATGATTTTGTTTATTAGAGTGCAACCAAGGGGAAGTATTTATTGGAAATGATCCTCTATTTCCTTTCCCAGACTACACCATTTAATGCCAAGAGCTCTGTTAGCTATCTTTGTTCTTGTTATGTATTGCAGATTCCCTATTTTCTTTATTTTATTCTGAGACTATTCATTTAATGCAAGGTGCTTCATTAGCTACTTTTGGCCTTGTTATGTGCTGCAACTACTTGTTCAGGTTTTGTTTCATGTCTTCAGGAAACAAAGTTAGAGCTAATGGTCTTTACATTATTTAAGTGATTGTAGTTTGCCATTTAGCATTAGGATTCTATTTTAGCGATTGGAGTTTGTCATTTAGCATTACAATTCTATATTCCCTAATTGGATGCTTTTTGTTTTAGTCAAAGAGACTGCCCAATAAAGTCCATTCTTGCTGTTCAAGTAATGAAATCCTGAAAGCATCTTTCTTGTTATGATACAGATCCTTTTTCTGATAATAATAATAATACAGATCGTCCTAGTCTATGTATGAGTAGTCTGTCTGCTAATGCTTGACCGGCAAGTTGTGGTAGAGTAGAGGCCTTTGCCAGTCCATAAGGTATTTGTAAGGTTTGATGTTTATATCCTACTGTTGGATCAATTCTTGTCACTAGAGTATATATCATTAACGTGGCACTGTCTTAAGTTAGTTCATAGGTCATGCCAAAATGATGGTTTTGCCTCGTCAGAGTGCCCATCATTTAATAACTTATGCCTATATCCTGCATTACTGGTAAAACCAGCATTCAAGCCTGTTTCTCCTGCTAATGGCTGAAACAATTTTTTTTTGGACATCACAACTGACAATTCTGAACATGGCTAAATGGATCATGATGGAGCATATATGTGTTACTTTATTACTTAAGACAAGCATCGAACCATCTTTGTGGATTTCGTTGATGCTTGGCCATTTTGTTAATTTAGGTTAATTTTGTGCAGTACGCTTGGTAACTTTTACATTCTGCTGATACCGACCATCTTTCCTTTCGTGCCATTGCAGAGCCGTGTTGACACTAGCGATTGTGCTGCTGCTCTATGTGATAATAGCAGCTTGCTGTGGCGGCATCACTCTCCCATCATGTAGATCAAGATAAGTTGTTATTATACTTGAGGTGGAGCATGTTGCTTGCGGAAATTTTAGGAGTCAGATATGTGGGTTTCCCAATTTGTATTGATGTCGTGATTATGTGGTATGCGCTTTGAATAGTATTAACACCCTGGTGTTTATTATATATGTGGGTTATAATCTGTTTTCTCGTCTTCATGTTGCCCTTCATCAGTCAAGCTGTATCAGATGGTTTGCCAGGTACCTGCTTAAAACCCATAATTTTCACTTTTAATTAACTATCATGCTGCAGTTACAAGAGATGATTTTGGATTCCAGAAAAAAAAAAAGATTTCAGCTTTTCCAATATTGAGTCTACAGTTGCTTTTAGCCATCCAGTTTCACTTAAAGCCATCATTGATGTTCTTCTCATCCTCATGTGATGTATGTGGCCCAAAGGACGCATTATCCTATTTATAAGGTTGATGGCTTCTTTAATGAAGCTTATAAGCTTAAATAAATCTTATTTATTTATAGGTTGACATAGGCATTGTGGCCTATGTTATATTGGTCGGTGGAATTGGCACAAATGGACGGCTGAAATCTGAGAAGAAGATAGGTTGAGATCTGTGAACAGGGAGGGACGCTTCGCTACGAGGGGCATTTTCGTCAATCGAGGAGGCGCAAAAGTGACATCCAGTTCGGGGAATCCTCTGATAATGTTTTGTCACCCATGATCTTCTCGTCCTTGGGGAATCTCCCACACTATCCCACTTGGGCCCCACGCAACCTCTATCTCCTATTCAGTTGAGAGGAGGGTAGGCGTGAAACGGGTATCGAAAATATTGCTCTTCGGTACGCATATCTGGACTCGTATATAAAATTCTACTCTCTCATTTCGCTCCCCTATTTCTGGTCTCTACTTCCTTCTCCTTTTTCTCTCTCTCGCCTCCTCTCTCTCTCTCTCTCTCTCTCTCGCATCCATCCCTTCCCGATCGCAATCTCCGACATTGTCCAAGCTGAAGCACGACTTCCCGCGTCGATCTATCTTCCCGTCGCGGTTATCTAACCGTTTCTCCTTTTCTCCTATCTATCGCTGCTCGAATTGTTTCCAGAACTGTTAATTAGGGTTTCGCCGCGCGCTTCGAGGATGACGCAGAACGGGAAGCTGATGCCCAATCTCGACCAGCAAAGCACGAAGATCCTCAACCTCACCGTCCTCCAGCGGATCGACCCCTTCGTGGAGGAGATCCTTATGACCGCCGCGCACGTCACCCTTTACGAGTTCAACATCGAGCTTAACCAGTGGGTGCGTCTCGATCGGGAGCCCCTCCTCCCTCCGTTGTCGATTCTGTTTCGACTAGGCGTTGCTTGGTTTTACTCCATCTGATCTATGCTTTTCGTTATTTGTTTTGTTCAGAGCCGAAAGGACGTTGAAGGATCACTATTTGTTGTCAAGAGGTAACAGGAGATCTCGCTAATAGGATATACCTTGTTGTATTTTTTATGTTTGTGTCGAATTTGAAGTGGCTGTGATTTGTATTGTCCGTCTGATGTTTGCACTGGTTCTGATTGAAGTATAGGATAGAGTGATACCTAGATTTAGGATCTATTTTTGTTTTATTTTTTTTTCCTTTGTGCTGGATCGATTCTTGAGTTGTGATTCAGATCTTGTGTCCAGGACTTTGCATGGAATAATTGATTTGTTGATTCGACCACTCTTAAGTGTTGATTTTGATTGGGAATTTTAATATTCGTAACTGAAGTAGTATTTTGATGTGATATGTTTTAATTTTGTTTTGATTGATCCTGATGGATTTTGCTAATTATTAAAAAAAATGAGTGTATATTTTCAGGAATACACAACCCAGATTTCAGTTCATTGTCATGAACCGGCGCAACACAGGTCTGAAATCAGTCCATGCTGAATTTTTGGCATTTTATGTTTGAAGTAGTTTGGTTGTTAGTTATTTGTTATTGTTGTTTCTGAAAGATTTTCATCATAACTTATATAAGTACTATAACGAGAGTCAAAAGGTAAAACAAAGATAATATCTTTAGGTCTGTTGGAGGTTTCTTTCTTGCAGGCATCCATGGGCAATGCAGTTAGATTAATTGGTCATACGAAAAAGTTACTCATGTTTGTAATGGTTGAACGGTTTGACTATGTATTTATGTCGAGCTAGGTCCTTTTGTTATTGATATTTCAAACAGTCTTGTTTAAGGGATTTGTTGAAGTTTGTATTTACTAGTAATGTTTTTCCTGCCATGTAGACATGGTCAAATGAATCAATGCCTTGTTGACACTTAAGTTCTGTTGATTTCTCTGTACAAGAAGCCAACAAACTGAGTTCCTCTATGGGACCACACTGATGTTATTTTCTACATAGTTTCTTTTGTGCTATATGTCCCATAGTGGTGTAGCTTTTGTAAGGTGCACTAGGCTGTAGGAGGTTGTTGGTTGTATGAATAATTATTTATTGTTGTTGCATACATTGCTGACAAATCTTTTGAATGTATTTTACTGTGAATTAGTATTTGCATGCTTTTGGGAGTGTGCCAGCTGATTAAATTGATTTAGCAGTTGAAGACAATTGGTTTAGCTTTTGTCTGCACCCATGAGTATCTAAATCAAAAGTTTTTATATATGAAGTCACAAGTTCTGGATATAAATTACATGCTACCTATAAAAATTGGCCGGATGATTTACTTATTTATTTGTATTCGTCTGATTAACAGATAATCTGGTTGAGGATCTTCTGGGAGATTTCGAGTATGAAGTCCAGGTTCCATATCTATTGTACCGAAACGCAGCTCAAGAAGTCAATGGTATATGGTTCTACAATTCACATGACTGTGAATCAGTAGCAAATCTTTTCAGCAGGTACTAGTATTGTTTTCTTCAAGTTGCTGCTAGGTAACATGCCAAATTGATTTTCATATTTCATCATAATACTTGTATTTACTTGATATTTACAAGGACTTCATCAGGTGCAGAGAGTGTCTTGTAGGTTTGGTAGCATCGTTAGTAAGTTGTGTTGATGTTAATAAAATGCTGGTGAATCATCATTGCACTAATGTTAATTCATCTATTTGCAGAATATTAATTCATTAGAACTTAGTTGTAGATGCCTAATATTTTCGTATCCTATACAATATAGGTTATCTCAAGATTAAACCTGTCCCTTTGTCTGTGAAGCACAGATATAATTATGATTTCAGAATAAGTATTTGTTGGAAATAAAATGGGACATGAAACAGGAAATTTAAGCAACAAATGATGTTAATAACAATGCCAATTGTATTATGTAGGATGATATTTAATTAATCCTATCAAGAGAATATCTTGTTATAAATATGACTACTGATAACAAGTACTAAAAGGAGAGAGTCAAGCTTTTTTAACAACAAAACAATATAAAATTTAAAAGAGAAGATTAGTTGATGTTGTTAGTAAGAACACATTGCTGTAGAAAGTTATTGGCCATCATCCCATTCTCCATTGAATGATGTTATAATAAGTATTTTATTGACGTTGTCCACATTCATATTTCAACACTTGCTAAGAAAACCTGCAAGTCAATGTACAGTCAAATATTTAGAAAATGTTCACAATTTCAATAATATGTTTGAGAAAGGGGTGCTACTGGAGTTTTGGAGTTTTTAACAAGGAAGAAATAATTGATGATTATTTATAGCTGATATATACAAGGCATGTCTTAGTATCTGCATTTTGTATCCCATTCTAAAGGGTCCTGATAGACAGATACAAATGATCCTTCCATGTCTTATCTATCTCACATGTTGTTCCTCTTTTACTCGTATGTCGAACCTGAGAAGCATTTTTCTTAAATAGTTTGTACCATCTCTTATCATGTTTCACCTAGGAGTTTCTGTGTGCTAAGAAGGTAGATTTGTGCTAAATAGTTTCTAGCAACTGAGACAAAGTGGCACTCATTTTTGTTTACCTTTTCCATCTTTACATAATCTGAATCCTGGATCCATCTCTTTTATGCATCCTTCTGTCACTTTACCTGAGCATACAGTCACTTCAAATAGGTGTGAAGTTTGCTTTTTATGAACAAGCATGACTAATATAGTGTATGCTATTCCATGTTAACTCTTTCACTATATGTTATTATGTATATATTGAAATTTCATTGTCTGAAGTATGAGAGTCTTATTATTCATCATAGGAGCTGCAGCTATGCCATTTAATAAATTCGGATGCTCGGGTTTTATATAATATCTATGTTTCAGGATACTTAATGCCTATTCCAAGGTACCTCCAAAGCCTAAGGTATCTTCCAAAAGGTATAATCTACTCTCTCTCTTTGGTACGTCATGCTTACATAACACCTATTATTATTTTCATCATTCTTTGATCTTTTAAATGAGTGTTTTCTTTTGGAAAACTGTCCATTCTGATGTTGATGGTTGGTAGGTTTATAGACTCTTTGGAAACATAAACTAATCTTCTACAGTACCTTTTATGCCTAAATTATTTGGTTCTTTTGATGAAAATTACAGTTAAGAGTTTGTCAAAAGGCATTTGGGTGCTCAAGTAGGCGCTTTAGGCAATGCGAGGCATGATCCAAGCACCTAAGGGGCTCTGGTTGCAATGCCTTTAACTGGGTATTGTCCAGGTGAAGCACCTCAGTTGAGGCATTGGCCATCCCTGGCCATTGCTTCGATTGCGGACCCAAATCCCTTCAGATCAGACATAAGTCAAATTTCTACCATTGTCAGCTGCCTCTTTTGTCCCCTTCGTCTTCTTTCTCCCCTCTTTTCAATGGTGCACCTTCGTTATACTCTCTTCTCTTCCTTTTCTCTTCTTTTCTCCCCATCACCTCTCCTCTTTGTGGCTAGCCTCCCCTTCTCTCTCTATCTCTCTCTCTCTCTGTCTCTCTCTCTCCCTTTCTTAGGTTCTCTCCCCTCCCTCTTCTTCCTCTTTCTGCTGTCCTCCACTGTCTTCCTCCCTCCACTGTTATCAATATAATTATATCTCTTCTATCAACACCCATCTTGAAATATAATCTCCTTTTAGTTATCTGTTATTCAAGTTATTTCAGATACTTTCTACAAAAAATTACCATATTTTATTCTTGCATTTTTTTTTAAATTCTGTATTGTCATAAATACATATAAACTCATTTTGTAATGAGTGAGTTAGGATAGCTGTTGCCATGAGTAAATTCTCTTCTTGTAACAGTGAGTTTGAGGAACTTGAAGCTGTTCCCACTTCATCAGTAATTGAAGGTCCTCTTGAGCCAGCAGCAACATCTGCTGCTACATCAATCACCGATGTTCCGGATGATTCATTTGTAAACTATTTCAGTGTATGCATTTCTGCTAGAGTTTCCTGTTATAACTTTTATAGCACCTGAAGCAGCAGATGATGATTGTCTTGAATGATTTCCCTTAACATGAATATTCTTATTTTTCAGAATGCTGTGAACATTGGAAATGCAACTAATGCAGCAATTGGAGCGCAACCACCTATTGCTTCTACAACTGTTTCTGCTACTTCGCATGCTGTCAGTCCATCAGCGGTTCCAACTGTTCAGTCCACCCTCACTATCCCAGCTTCATCCACTCTAATCCCACCTCTGGATGTGCTTGAATCTAACAGTGGAAACAGCAACCGTGCTGCAAATCTTGTGAAACCTTCATTTTTCTCACCAGTGCTATCTTCTTCTGTATCGGCAATGCCTCCAGTATCGTCTTCAATTCCAGCTGCTCCACCTCTCCATCCTCCGGTAACAATGCAACGTCCATATGGCACTCTATTACTTCAACCCTTCCCACCACCCACTCCATCTGCATCCCTCACTCCTACGCCAAACTATGGCCCAGTTATTACAAAGGACAAAGTCCGTGATGCTTTATTGAAACTTGTGCAGGTAAGTTTCTTTCCTTTTGCCGAATCATTTGCTTTCCTTGTCTATGCTTCTCTGAAATTAATGAAGTAAATTATTGGTACTATCAGGATAAATTATTCACTATGCAACTTGTTCATTGCATTTCTTGTTTCAGAGCATTGTATGGTAGGTTCCCAGCAGTCTTACTCCTATTTTTCCTTTTCACCACACTATTCTATTATGTTTGATTTTACATGATACCCAAATATATATTGTGTGTAACTCCAATCCCTGATAGCTAGTGATGGATCTGATTCTGTTATCATGAATAGGTAGTGATGCCTACTTTTGTCTTTTTTTTAATCCATGCTAGTCTATCTCCTGCATTCTTAATTTTTCATATCACCTGTTCTATCAGTTTTTTATTTTTTATCTTTCTCCTTGATGGGTTGGTAATTGTCTTTTTTGCTTTGCTTCAAGCCTATCTTCAGTCTTTCTTATTTTATCCTACTTTACTATCAAGTCTGGCTCACAGCTTCATGATTTCATTTTTTTCTGATTTTTCATCATCACATCAATGTACTATCTTATGATAGTGGCATTTGCTTGGAAGTGCTGCTCTCATCAGATGCATGTAAGTGTGATCTCCATCATTATATATATATATATATATATATATATATATATATATATATAGTTTGTTTTTGCATTTATTTTCTAAGTTGAAGCTTGGTGTTTCTAAGCGCTTCTTTGGCTTTGACAGAATATGAATGTTTGTAACTATTATATATATATATATATATATATATATATATATATATATATATATATATAGTTTGTTTTTGCATTTATTTTCTAAGTTGAAGCTTGGTGTTTCTAAGCTGCGCTTCTTTGGCTTTGACAGAATATGAATGTTTGTAACTATTAGTGATTTGTTACTGAAGAATACATGAATAAACTCCAAGGAATGTTTAACTAATTAACTGACCATTTATTAGTATTGATCATTGTCTATCCTATTAGCAGAACTTGTACCTGCAACTCAGCTATAGTATCACATTGTACAGGGAGCTTGAAAATGCTTTTGATATTTGTTCTTACACATTATATACTGAGTTGTATACTGCATTAAAAGCTCATTTGGTTTTTAAATGTTTTCTTGACAGAATAATGAATTCATTGATATGGTCTACCGGGAGATGCTAAATGCACATTATTCGTGACAAAATAAGACGATGGTGACAAATGGAGAGATTGTGCTCAGTGCATGATGTTGCTAATCGTGTAGCTTATTCATGTAGAGGTTTTGTAAATCTTCGTGAGTTGCAGATGAAAGACATGGGACTTGTGTTTATATGTATCTTTTTGGTTATTTGTGGATGGAAGTACTCGTAACTTTCTTTTTTGGTATGATATCTGTTATTTACCAGAGTAAGTCATCATCACAAATTCATTTCCTGCCTAAAACTCTTGCGATATAAAAAGTTCTCTTTTGCTTGAAAAGTTTTATTAATCATCGTGGTCAATTTTGCAACTTGGGGCTTTATTGAAAAAAGTTATATTGTTTGAGCATAAAAGTAAGATGTGGGTCGTGTGTTTAAGAGCTTCGTCTTGCAATTAACTCTAGCTTAGCATTCTTCACCTTTTTGGCAATGTCAGTAAATCTAACTTGTGATCCCAAAAGATGCAGGTATTGATGCAGGGATTTCCAATTTTTCCCAACGAGAGGCTAATACAAGTAGTCAAGCATGTGCCTATCGAGTTAATTGTTGTGTGTCTTGTGTAGGAACTCTGCTGCTAAGATATATCTATTGAGTTAATATTACAATCGTAAGATTATACCCGACATATCGGTTGGAATTATTGTTATCAGATGGTAATCGGGACACATTCTGCATCATGATTTGGCTTGTACACCAAGGTACGGGGCCTCGACGTGTCTCGCATCTTCGCTTCTTCCGTGTTGGCAACCAAGATTCTCGTTCCGTGTTCATTAAGAGGGATGGTTATTGCTCGTCAGCGTCAGAGACTCGTTTCTTCTTCTTCTTCAGAGTTCGAATGGTACCTGGAAAAGCTGTTGCAAGCTCACCTCCTCACTTAATTCAGCTGTGAGACTTCCACACTACCACGTCAGTATGTGTTGCAAATTATAGCACTTCTTATGAGCTCTCACCAACTCCCAACCTTTTAACATGCAGCAGACTGTTGAGTGACAAATTATCCATGATCCTGACGTCAGAAGCTTTCAAACAACGTTTCTCGGACACTGTTCTGCGGTCATCGAGAACTTTAACAGTGTTCTCGGCTGTTCATGTGTCGTCTTTCTTATAATGCAGTGAGCTGAAGGCACTGGGACTGCCCTAGTCTTTGGAGGCAGATGAGAGCCAGTGGAAGGAAGGGCTGTGGCGGTGAAACGAGTAATGCCAAGTGTGCACAGCTCAGACCCTCAAGCCATGCAGACAATTCAATGTTCCTTCAATGGGTATGTTGAATTCTTATTGGCATGTATGTAGCACGTTACAAGTCGGCCTGGCATCAAGCACCCATTGACCACCTTAAATGGCGCATCAACTTGTGCAGATATCATCATCACCTCTCTCTCTTTCTCTCTCTTATGGGTTATAAAAGATGGTTTACGAGTAATACAAACACAAATCTTTGCCTCTTTCACCTCCAGGATAGATGATCTGTGGCTCTTTTTGGCAATGCTTTTATGCTTGAACAAGTCAAAGAAAATTGTACCTGTAACAGCGAATCTTTGTACCGACTCCAAACATATTACGAATCAATGTTGAACGAACCGAAGAGGGGTTTCTGAAGCACAAATCGTTGCGAAATCAAACAAGTTCTTCTCGTGTTCTGTGCTGTATGAACTGGAATTTAGCTTATTCGAGACCAAATCCTATTGTTTGACGAGCTTCAGACCATTCGATAAGAAAAAAATTCATCTTTATCTTTATTCCAAAATATCTAATCAATTTATCTTTATTCCAAAATATCTAATCATAAATTTTTTAAATCGAATCACATTAACATAAAAAAGAAGTTACCATCTGACTGATTTTTCTATGCCACCAACTTTCCAGCTTTCAGTCAATGAATGCCTTGTTAATGTTCTCTTCTTTCCTGTTGCTGGGTGTTCAAAGCTCCCCCCATCTCATGAGGCCTGAGCAGAAATAAAGATGCTCACATGCATGGGCTTGTGCTGAAGACCAAACTAATCTCAAATAATCTACCAGTCTACTGCTACAGTAATGAGATTTCCTCAAGTCAGAGCCATTTATGTTGGTGGTTTTTATGAACCTTCAATGCTTCTGCATGCTAATAATACTGCTCCAGTGTGGCATCATGAAGGATGGTGGCAGAATTAAGAGCACCATCAAATTCTCCAGCTGTTGCTTAGCAGTGCAGTGAAACCAGCAAACGAAAACAATCACATAGTTTAACAGGCACACTGTTGTCGAGTTCTGAACCATTCTCTTTTTGATCCATTTAAGCAGCTGCAATTAGATTCATGTCAGATAAAAATGTTATGCACTTGTGGGTTTGTGATATAGATGAACATTAATGCAAGCTTATCATGTCATCATGCCTGATCGAAAGGGAGATTTGAGATCTGAATCAGAGAGGCCGTAACTTTCATTGATTGGAAATAAAGTCCATTCATTAAAAAGTAGCAACCATTTAAGACCCATTTACTAAGTTAAAGTAGCCATTTATTCCCATTTACTTGCTTAGATACGGACCACTGGGGTCATCCATACAATAAATCCCATCAAAAAGAGAAGCTAATAACTGCAGTTTTAGCATCCTCCAGCCTTTCACACTCCAAATCTTTTGTCAAGCTCTCTACGGACACTAATAAGCATTGGAGTTCCCTTTGATGCAATGGAGAGAGACACGATGCTTTCAACAGATAGAGAGAGAAAGCGAGGGAAACAACAACAACATCAACAATAATAACATTAATGTAACATCTGTTGTTGTATTAAAGAAGACCATCAAACCTCGAATTCTCTTCTTATATAATGAGATGTGAGGTGCACTTTCCAGCCCCATGAACAAAGACCAACATGCTGCTAGTTGTGGTGGAGAACCCAGTGCTCCCCATATCCCACCACCCTTAAACCCCGTGTTCTCCTGCTAGCTTGGAGGTACATGACTCCGCTGCCCTTCACCTCTGGTTGGCATGTAGTAGTGGTGGTATGTATATAACTGGGGTACTCTGTATTCTACAGGAGGGACGAGATGAGCCGCAACCATGGGAAGAACCCCAAGGTGGACCTGAAGCTGAACCTGTCGGCGAAGCAGGTGAGGGCGAGAGGGGGGCCGTCGACGAGGGCGGTGGTGGTATCGGAGGACGAGGATGACTCATCCTCGTCGCCGTCCGTATCGCCGCCGAGCTCGTGCGTGTCTTCCGAGGAGGAGCAGAAGCAGGCCGACAGCCCGGAGGCGACGTCGTCGATGGTGCTCGCCGGGTGCCCCCGCTGCCTCATGTACGTCATGCTCTCGGAGAAGGACCCCAAGTGCCCCAAGTGCAAGAGCACGGTGCTGGTGGACTTCCACCGCGGCAGCACCAGCTCCCGCAGGAGCAGGAGGAGCTGACGACGACGGCTGCATCCCCTGCTGCTGCTGCTGCATGTCACTGCTTGCTCATATGCTTCTCGTGATATCTTCTCCACTCCTCCCCTCCTCATGGACTCTCTCTCTCTGTCTCTCTAGATTCCTGTTGGTGAAGATTATGTACATGGGTGAACCTGATTAACCCAAACTTAATCGAATCTAAGTTACATAGTGTTTGCAGAGTGAGATTTGCCCAAACTTAATCGAATCTGAAGAACACAGTACTGGTCAGAAGAGCCATAACATGATGAGAAGGTCAAAAGGAGACTAATGGCCCTGACATGGACTTAATTCTTAAGGTTCTCTAATCAACATGAATATATATTGGCCAATTAATTATGTAATCAAGTTTGGGTGGTTGACAGCATTGAAAGAAATGGATATGTTGAATTGGAAACCCCATAATACCAAATAAATGCAGAGTAATTGAGACAGATGAGAATACGGGGAGTGGCAACAGCATTGACAGAGGGTGACAAACAATATATACAAATACCTACTCTCTATCACTCTCCTACATTAACATTTGCCGATTCAATGTTTGGCCTAATCACCATCGAATGGAAACAAATTAACTTAAATAATAAGCCAAATTTGAGATTCAACTTCTGTCGGAAAATCACACAGAAGTATACTAACCAAAATATCTTTTAAATAAAATGAGTTTGAAAACTATTTCTTTAGCCGTAAGTAATTTCTTGTTTATCGGAAGGATCCTACCAAATACATATAAAAATTTATGAAGCCTAATAAGTTTGTTTTTAGAAAAACTTTTTCATCGACTATGTTTCGCGAAGATTTATGTTGCTAGAATGATTCTTGAAGTGTGATAAAATTTGAAACACAAGTAGATCGGATTGTTTCCATAATCCTCATTGAACTAATATTGTTGGATTTTACATGTGTCGCAAAATAAAAATATTTTTAGAATGCAAATCCATATCTCCTTCGAATACATTATTATTGGGTCCTCCAAGGGTTTATCCAACATCGCTTATTCAATATTTCACCGTAAAAAATTATGAAACCTAAACTTCAAAAAAAAAAAAACTTTTTCATCAACTATGCTTCATCGAGATTTATGATATTAGAGTGATTCTTTAGTAGATGAAATAAAAATATTTCCAGGTTGGAAGTTCAATTTTCTTTTGACTCATTCAATATTGCTTCTTCGATAGCTATTAGATTCAATAACACCAATAGAAAAATTTATATTTTCATTTTGTAATCTTTTTATAAGACTCCACTTCGCATATTTTCTTTAAAAGTTTTTTTTTTGCTTTAACTAATTAGAACACTTTTATACCTATTATGGCCGAGGGGATTTAGAGGATCGAACATGATTCTTCTACACCCAATGAAACTTGATGATTTGATAGTACAATGTGATGGCTCTTTTAACCCTACTACTTGTGATTAGGCTGGTTTTGGCTTCATCCTCATATGCTCATATGGTCAGAACATCACAGTGGGATACACAATGCGACTAAAGCTCGATCACCCCCTTCAAACTAAAGACATTATCTTGGGTAGTCAACAAAAGCTTTACCAATCTGAGGATACAATCAGACTCATCATAAATTTTGGTTTCTATTCCTTAGTGAACATTTTGACTAACATTTCTGAAAATTCTAAATCTGTAAAGGTCATTTGTTGGTCCTCCTACATTCCTAGATATACAAACGAGGAATGTGCATAACTTTGTGTTCCAGGGAATATGATATCCCTATTCCTTTTTATACTACTCAATAACTTTTTGATCATCCCCATGGTTCTGTGAATAAATAAAATTCTCTTAATTAAAAAAATACAAAAAAATCGACAATAGACCCATCAACACCGGTTAGTGTCTTCTCTAAGAATAATGTTGATCACTGAATATGATTCAATTCTTGTTTCTTGGTGACTTATCCGCTTAAGCTAAGTTAAAACAAAGAATATTGTATTGCATATCGGAGTTATATCGGTCATTAGTCGGACTGATATGTATCGATTTTAATATTTCAAAAATGAAGAATAATGGCAATGATAACGATGTCAGTTTTATGCTTTCTCGCGAATAAGTGTTTTAAGTTTTTTTGTGTTATTGCTTTTATATTAGGTTGGATCGGATTGTTCAAAACAGACGATCGATCGAACATGAAATGAATACTTTATATATGGATCGGACTAGTATGTATAATCTATTTCGTACTAAACTATACTAAACAAAATTCTCAAGTTAAAAGTATGGTAATCAGATTTGAAAGAATATGAAGTGAGAAATAAATTATTGAAGAAAAAAAAAGGGATGAATTTGATTGGGTACATAGATGTTAGATTTGCGAATAAGTACTCTTCTCGTCATCATTTTGGTATTTGGTGCTTAACAAACTTGCTCAAGTACGTTTTACGTGTCTACATTAAACTTTGTATAAATATCCCTTTAAAACTTTTTATTTGGCATATATGACATTCAAAATACTTACATATCTTCCCCGTATCTCACTTCCATTACCATTCATCTAATAGCTCAAACTAAATACTGCTAATCAAGATTAAAAATATTAAATTGTTAAGTACCTAAAAAACTATCTTTAATTTTTATCAATTATTTGATCTGTCATGTTTCTTAATATTTTAATTTGATTTGAGTTACCATTCTTCACGTGAAAAAATTATTTTATATCCGTCTTCATTGTATCTATTATTGTCTTTGCTCTACATCGCCTTTGCCTTCATGGACTCTACCTTGTGCGCCTCATCCTCACTGTTCTTGCTTGCAGCACAAGCAATTGCTGGCTTTTACCACCTTAATTCCCCTCCCCTTTGCCCCATCGTGCCCATCTCTCTCTTTATGGACCTTTGTTGGCACCCATACACCACTCTCTCTCTTGCTATCCTTGTTTCGGCAAAAGGTGGCTAACGTGGAGGTGCATGTGGACAGCATGGGTGGGTCCTGTAAGATAGGAGAGGGGAGTCAAGATGATGAGGGCCAATAGATGCTTATGCCACGGGAGAGAACAGTGAGGGTGAGACATACAGGGTAGATTTAACTAAGGCCAATAAAATTCATAGACGTAGGGGTAAGTCTAGCGAGTATGACAAGGGTGATGATACTAGATGGAGGCGATGACTATCAAGCGTAATATCATCATTTAAAAAATAATACTTTATGAGAACTTTTGAAAGTTGGGGTGCTAATTATGAATTTTTTAAAAATATTTTTTTATAAGAATTCATCTCATATATATATATATATATATATATATATATATATATATATATATATATATATATATATATATATATATATATATATATATATATATATAGAATAAGTGATGAAGATGTGAAACAAAAGCCAACATGTTATTGTCGACAATTAAGATTTTTAATTGTATCACTTCCCTCCACGAATATAATAATATCATACATCTTTAATTGCCACCGTTGACTACACTGCACACGAATCTCATCGATCGAAGCGACTCGGATCCATCACCCCACCATTCCATTGACCTAAACATTCCACCCACACAAGAAGAGGAAGAAGAAGCTTCTAAGCAACTAACTGCACATGTCTGTGTTCGTCTAATGCCTGTGAATGGAGTGGCACCTACCGCCTTTCCCCAACAAAGAAATCTCCACGCAATGCTGTCCCCCCACACAGTCTCTTCCAAGTATCAAACAAGCTGGCGTTTCATTTCTTGTGAGCCACTTTCTTTGTAGCTTCCCAACCTTATCCTATGTCTAATCATGCAGAGACTCATATGAAATCATTATTGGAATAATTACGGTTTATTTCTGAGTAATAATAATAATAATAATATGTGCCATCTATTATTGTACTTGGATCACGACAAAGCATACAGAGACCGTCGCCAACGGCGTCAAAATGGAGATTAGATTGAAGGCGACAAGGAAGGGGGTTGCATGTGGACGTCTCCGTCAACGCTCATGGCCACGTAGGGCACGGCCTCAGACGTCCACGCTGCAGGCGGTCATGTGCTGGAAGCGGAGGTAGGGCGTGGATGGGTCGCCGCCGTGGGACCTGCCGCTGTCGACGGTAAGGAAGACGGGGCAGTTGACCTGGAGGTGGTAATGGCCGGAGATCCACGTGCCGACCTTCCACCGGAGGCTGCCGATGACGCGGATGTAGAGGAGGATGTAGCCGGCGTTCTGGTCCTGGGAGAGGGCGTCGGCGAGGTAGGGGCCGAGAGGGACGGCGGCGCCGTAGAGGTAGGGAGACCAGACGGTGACGTCGTTGTGGCCCTGGTAGCCGGGTGGGAGGGCGGTGGTGGCGGTGACCTGCTGGGCCTTGTAGAGGGCGAAGGCGTCGACGCGGTCGTAGTAGACGCCGATGCGGTCGTTGGGGTTGCGGGAGGCGAGGGTGACCTGGAGGACGGCGGTCAGGGTGCCATCGCCGGAGGAGAGGTTGAACTGGGCGACGGAGGCGTCCTGGAGGTAGAACTTGGGCTTCGTGGGGCGGAGGACAAGCCAGACGATGAGCACGACGAAGAGGACGAGGATGATCAGCAGCAGGAAGGCCGCGAACAGGCGGCGATACACCTTGTGCCGTTTCTGCTCCTCGTGGTTGCCGCAGTCCGTCGTCATGATCGACCCGAGACAGAGAGAGAGAGAGAGAGAGAGGTAGTGTTGGTTAATAAAGTAGTATTGCGACCACTTGTGATGTCTTACTTTAAAGTAATACAAATA